AAAGTTGAGGTTAACGTCGTGCGGCGAAAACTACCTATTGTCACCTTACAACTGTCCGAGTCTGCTATAAGTCCCCAGCCATTACAGATGCATTTAATGTTCCTTTGCTTGTTTCTTTATTTGAAGACTAAGAAATTCATATTTGTGAATTTCAAAAAGCTGAATATTTCCAATGGAAGTTAGAGTTAAACAGCTTATATTAAACCACATGTTTTTTCTCCATCTTATTTAAAAATCAAGTTCAGAGTACTGAGCCTGAAACAGCTTATTATTGGTTGTTCTAATTATAAAAATATTTTGGTTGAAAAGTTATTTTTCTACAGCTATTGAACATTGAAAAGATTTGACAATTTACAGCGTGTATATATTCCGGCTATAACTTAAATTTTAATTTTCAGTGTTGAGATATGTGTGCCATCACACTAGTTATCGCAGCACAAAATCAAATCAAATTTATTCCACATCTTCCTTTTTTTCATAACAAATAATTTACAATTGGTGGAAAAGGAAAAACTACGACACGCGAAGCTTTCAACAGTGGGTCCCTTTTAAATAAATTAAATATTATATTTATAACATATAGAAAGGACAATTGAATAAATACATTAAAAAATGATGAATAAATAAATAAATATAAACAGATATTAATAATAATAAAAATAAAACAACATGATAATAATAATAATAACAAAATGTGTTCTGTTGAGTCACTGAATAAAATAAAATAAAAATAAAATAATTGCAACTGCGCTATTCTTAACTTGGTTCTATTATAGGCCTACACGCCAACCATTATCATACTACAATATTATTAACATTAATGTCAGTTATACAACTGCCCGAGTCTCAGAAAATGCGCTAGCACTACGAGTTTCTTAACCATTACAAACTATTACGTAGTTATAGGCCAACCCGAGTTCCATTGTGCTATACAAATCCTCAACCATTATAATATCATTACTGTGACTTGGTTATAAAACTACCCGATACCCGAACTATTATATATATATATATATACGTTATGTGTAGTATTTGTACGAGTCACACCAGGTAGCCTGTTATTTTTCACCACAATATTCCTCAAAAGATTTAGTACTTTATCATTTATACCGCACTTATGTGTCGGTCTACTAATGTAGCGATAGCTGAATGGGACACAAGGTACCCAAAGATCTGCCTGTAAGTTAGTGTGATTAAAATAATCAATCAATCAATCAATCATTTTATTCATCATCAAATCAATGTCAATATACAAAATAGATTTGTTTTTGAAATTGTAAAAATAGGATAACAGATGAAAAGGACATTCATGAAACTCAAACTCAAAATAAGGAGCTTGTAAAATGAAGACCTGGAAGTACAGTAGTAAAATTATTTAACAAAAAAAAAGACACAAATTTACGAGAGCACAGAACAAAATCACCACCAAAAGGACCCCACTGGATATTAGTCTTCTTCTAGACTTTCGTGGGCTATCCTTGGTGTTTACACCGAATAAATCCAATCAAATTCAATATATGATACAATTGATGCAGGAATAAAAAGATAAAAGGGTTAAAATCGAAAAAAACGATAAAATGAAAAATTAAAACAATTGATTAAAACATCAATAAAGTGTTAAAATAAATGGAAATATTAAGAAAAATAAAAAAAGTCATTGTTAAAAAAAAACTATAAAATTGATAAAGCTGTCACATTTCTTTTAAAATGACGAAGACCAATAAAAACACAATATAGATAAAATACAACGGTTGAAAAAACATGTACAATACTTTAGTATTTGATCAGTAGGGTTTTCTTAAATTTATTTTAAAATATGGATAATGACATTGATGGTTTAAGATTTTTATCAATGTTATTCCATATATCAGATGCAATAAAGATAGCATTTAGGCTAGTACATTTCAGTTTTCTCTTATTTTGTGTTAAGCTCAGCCTTGTCCCTTGTGTTCCAATGGTGTTGATGAGTTTCATTTCTAAATATAGATACTAATCTAATATTAAGCTCTTTTGTGACGGAATACACAGCAACACCAATTTGATATGTGATGATATCATGGATCTTTAAGAGCCCATACCTATGGAAAACAGACGATACACTGTCTCGATATTCTGTGAAGCTAATAACTCGAATTGCTTTTCTTTGAAGACGTTTAATTTCTTCAAGATATGCTTTGTACTTACAGCCCCATCGATGATGCAATAGTAACAAAAAAGTGAATAAGAGATCTATAGATAGTAAGTAAAGCATAAAAAGGAAGGAAATGCCCCACCTTATATAGTATTCCGGTGTACATAGACTTTTTTTGAGATAACACTTATGTTCTTTAAATTAGACGTGTCAATATGATCTGTGTAGACTTTCCGTTTCTTACTAGGAAAGATTTTTTATTTATTTTTCTATTTATATTATTTATATAGCGCCTTTTCTTCGTAGATATTTTCCCTGGTCATTGGGTCCACATACTTAAATGTTTCTGCCATGGTAATCAGCGAAGGAGCAGGCAACCCCACCAGGTACCAATTTATACTCCTGGGTAGAGAGAAGCAATGCAGATAAAGTGTATTTTTCAAGGACCCAAGCGAAATGTACAGTGAGGGATTGGAACTAAATATGGATCATCTCTTGCTTATGTTCAAAGACAAGTTGTTGCATTTAAAACATTCATTAATTTGGGAAATTTCAGTATTTATAAGTTAATTGAAGTATTTAAGTTCTTGTGAAATAATAACATATTTGTGCAATAACAAATAAAATGAGAGAAAGAATTTTGGAACAGGTAAAAATATCATTTACATGTAGTATGCATAACAGAGGTTAAAAAATGGAACCTTGGGATACACTATACTCATTATTGCACACACTAGACTTTACGTCATCGAAAGATAGTGTATTGCCGACATGGCTTTGAATCTGTTTTTAGTTCTTGAAGCAGAATGTTGTGATCAATCTTTTATCAAAGACTTTGCTAAGATCCACAAACATACCTATTGTAAACTCCCCTTTATCAATGGCGTCATTAACCTCATCGATTAATTTATGAACTGCCATGTATGTGTAGCTTTGTTTTTGAAACAGTTTCAGTTTCAGTTTCAGGTTATTGTGTTTCACACAATGAACACAATATAAGAACACATCATATAGTAATTAATAGAGTAATATGGGTTCATAAATTTTAAAAAGTCAATAATATGGACAAAGTACGACTTTTAAGACAGTTTAAGACCTTGTATCATATGGATGGTAATGTAAAAGTAAAACATGTATGAAAATGAAAGGGAAGCTGATTGCTGTTTATACGAAACATTAACATGATCGTTTGAAGCTGTCAAGATCAAAAATATTTAATGTATCGGGAGTGTAAAATATATGAAGTGAGACCTGGGAGATACCCCTGTGCATAGTATTCTAAGCGCTTTCTTTTGTAATCGGAACAGACAGTGAATTTTAGACGTTTCAGAACTTGCCCAGGGACACAATAGAGAAAATATACCATTGGTTGTAGCCCATGTAATGTTGCAGTACAGTAGTTAATATAAGGTAAAATAAGTGTATTATATTCAATTATATTTTTATTATTCAATAATATATTGAAAGGAAGGGTATGTTTAATTTAGATAGTACTCCAAAAACCGAAAGGTATACTGATTAATCTCAGATAAGAAAGTATAATACATACTGCTTAATTATTAATGTCGAAATATTGAATCCCAACACGATGGCGTATATTTCAATACTTGGAGTATGTATTATACTTTCTTATAGTACTCCAACGTTCCTAGAAACTGCCTTGGTGACATTGGCAATGCGGCTTTTACAGCTAAGTTCACAGTCAATTACGACTCAAAGAAATTTTGCATTGGCAACTCTTTTAATTGGATGGCCATTAATGAAAATACCATTTTCATTAATGGTTAGTTAAAATTAGTTTTGGATTAACAGACAATCTATTGACTCTAAGTCATAAAGAAACATTTTTGAGATCTTTGTTAATTGTAAACTATTTTCATGTGAAAAAAATATATTGGTATCATCTGCAAACAGAATAAAATGTAATAATTTTGAGACTTTAGGGAGATCATAAACAAAAAATTATAAAGCAGAGGACCTAAAATAAAAAACTGAGGGACTCCACAAGTCATAGGCCTATGTAATAAATTAGAATAGAATGATTTAATAGAAGTACAAAGCCGTATTGTGAATCATGAATAATTTTATTTTCTCCAAGTGGCTATAAAGCCTGTTATACACAATACGCTCAAGAAGAATGATATAGGTCTATAATTACTGAAAATAGCTTTATCAACAGTTTATGTATTGGGACAACCCTGGCTATTTTAGTGAGGTTTGGTGTTTTTATGCAGGGAGGTGGTAGTTTATGTTGCTGTAGTATTGTACTCCTCTCCTGCACGCTATTTTATTGTTATTTGTTGAATTTATGATGTAACAATTAACACGGAAAAAATGCTTGCGGTATGTGCTCTAGTTCTAAAAGAAAATTAGGTGCAGCCCTCGGTTTTAAATCAAAATATACTGTGACCCTTAAGCATTGTCTCAATCAACTATATAACAGCTAAAATATCAATTAAAAAAATCGCAATAATGAACATCCTGATTTCAAATAAACGGTAGGCCTACATTAGTGCTCGTTAAACAACTTTGTACTTCGCGTGAGACTCATTCAGATTCAGTTGATAGCGTCGGTAAAGTATCAAGACGTTTGAACCATCTCATTCCGATCCAGTTGGTAGTCTTGGCAGAGCGACAACGTGTTGAAACAAAGTGTACCATTAGACCTACATTTTAAGTAACGATACTATAATTTCGTTTTCCCGCCCAAATCACTAGCATTTTTTCGCAAGTATTTGGGAACGTACTAAGTATTCGGTACGATAGCACGGCAGGTAAGGCAAAACATCACTCCTATATTTTTCTGACGCAAACACACATCGAAGTAGTATAATTCAAATAGATGAAAGTGAACTTGTTGCTTTTGCAGGTTTACCCATCGTGTACGTGGCCATATGGGCTGGACTTATGTGGCAGTTGAAATACGACGATCCATGCTGGTATACATACGTCAATTCAGAAAGCACTAAATATATACTACTGATTCTAAGTGTACCTCAATTCGTTGCTTTCTTGGTAAGTTCAAGTTTTAAAATGTTGTAACTTTGAGGCGATGGGGCGCAGTATGAGCTGAAAAAGATAAGAGGTAATGCAATCAAACCAGTGCATCCAAAAACCAGGTACACTTATTAGACTCCTACTGAAATCATCGGGAAAGAGTTGCATCTGATTTTCTATTAAATGTTTCATCGATATCGTCACCACAATGAATACCATGCTACAAAACACACATAATCTGTTGGTTCGAAAATATTACTGAATGCCCGATAAGGCACAATTGTGTATTATTTGAGGCAGTCATAATGGAAATCACGCTAGGCCTATTCATTTTCCATTGTCAGGTTCATGATTTTATCCAATTGCTTATTATGCGAATGACGTAAAAATTAATCAACCTAAGAGTAACAAAATAAAAAGAAGCATCTATAAAACAGGAAAATTTTCGTACTGTCGTTAACAATTGATATTTTATTTCTTATGGGTGTATAATGAAAAACAGTTCGTAGGTACAGGTATGTGTATCATAACAAATGCACGAAATAAATATCACAGTATTATAGCTAATGTTGAAATAGGCCTATATGATTCCCAATATGATTTCAGTTCGGTTCATTTTTTGATACTCTGAGACGTCAGAAACCAACATTGCAGTGTGTTGACTTTTTTAACAATGAAAATAGAATTGAATGAACTGTTCTCATACTAAGTTTATCTTAGGAAAAATACAACCCTCAAATAATTTTGTAGACCTAAGTGCTTTCTGTATTGACCAATTATACTTTTATTTTTTTTGTTTATATGCTTCTTTAATTCATAGCTCAACATGCTAATCCTGATTAACATCATTCGGATCCTTGTTACCAAACTACGCGCTAGCCACTCTGTTGAAACCAATCAAGTCAGGTAATGTAGGCCTATCTAAAATAGATTCAAATTTCAAAACAATTGTTAAAAATAATCAAACGCAATTCAACAGTAACTGTTTGTATTTAAAGACGTACTAAGTTGGAAATGGCTCCACACTAGTTACCAAACTACGTGCAAGACACTCAGTTAAAACCAATCAAGTCAGGTAAAGTAGGCCTATCTAAAATAGATTCAAATATCAAAACAATTGTTAAAAATAATCACACGCAATTCAACAGTACTGTAACTGTTTGTATTTATTACAAAGCGAGTTCCCTAGGGTAGTGGTAACCTCACTTCGTAAGAAACTACAGAAGCCACAGACTACAGATGACATTAGGTGAAAAAGAGGGGTATCTAGTGATGTGATAGATCCTGGCTACAGTGACGTCTGAGGCCCTGGGTTATATAGTATTGTGCACATGAATGTAATATTCAATTATTTTCGTCCAAATAGTGGCCGAGATGGGACATTTTTTAGGGGAAATCTCCGCCCTACCTATATTATCGTATTCAGGCATACAGATCAGTATATCTATTGTCATTCTAAATTTAAAAATGTATAGAGCAATGTTTAACGATAGATCAACTTTTATGTAAATGTCAATGCCATATATATAACATAACTATAGGAATATTAAGGCTGAAAAGTGTTATAGCCAATGTCATTACGGATTAAATAAAATTATAGAGTGCAATACTCAACAATGTCATTTTAATATGCATATTGTCGGACTAGTCAACAAATTCATATTTTCACTCATCGAGTTTGATACAGCATCTCGGTTAATATATTCTTACCAACCACTAATTATATAGGCGGAACTTTATTTCAAATTACTCAGAATAGCCTATTGACGTTTATGCTCTAATATTTTTTTTAACAACTGACAAACTCCTAAGTTCCAGTTTTGAGTTGTCTTAACCAATTCGAACATGCGTGTTAAATTCCATCTCATTTTGCAGATAATTTTGATTGAAAATCTGTTGACCTAAATCAATTTAATGTAGTCAGAGGAGAGAGAGAAATCCCATTAAAGGATTTTCGGTAAAAGGTAGTTTTCGATAACTTTCAAGATTAATTACATCAATTTCCCAAAACCCCGATTTCAATGCATACCGTATTCTATTACACTTTTTTTTTAAATTATAATTGAATACAAAAAAATGATATAAGGTGGTATTACACCGCAGTTGATTACATGTATAATAATGTTATGTTATTAAGAGATTAAAACACCTTACGTTAGATTAAATATGTGCATAACATAATTTAATTTAGGATTTCAGAACAAGAGCAAAAATTTTAATTTTGTCAGTATGTATACTTTTATACCCGGGTCTAGATCCATTGCCACCCGGGATACACCTTGTTCAAAATAATAGATAATATTATAATACAAGGCAAATTCTAATATCTCTTTTTGTATGTTTTATCTGTTTATGTAGAAGATTTGGTTGACATCATTACTGGCTAAATGTCTGCATAATAATTATGGGCGCTGGTAGTTCATTATAATTTAAACTATAATATATAGCCACCTCTATGATATAACTATAATATAAGCCGTAGGTCCAGTGTACACTGTGGGCTTGTTTATACTTAGTGCATTATTCGAGACGAGTAGGGGTTATACGGGTTCATACAGCATCTGTAATGGACGCGAGAAAGATACACAAGTCACCAGGTAAAACTACAACTGTTACTCAAATATAATACAAAATCCTGTTAATGAATCATAAGATTTATTATTTTTGTTCATTTTGTTTTAACAATATTCAGCTAACTCGACTTCTGTTCACAATCTACATATAAATATCATGTGCAAACATTTTTTGGTCTAGGCCCGTTGCCACCCGGCCCGTTGCAACCTGGCCTGTTGCCATTCGGCCTTTTGCCATCCGGCCCGTTGCCACCCGGCCTTTTGCCATGTTAGGCCCGTTGCCTCTCGGCCTTTAGCCACCCGGCCTTTTGCCACCCTAGGCCGGTGGCCTCCCGGCCTTTTGCCACCAGGCCCATGTGTACTGTACTAGCGCGAATAAGCCCCCGGGCGCTTAAAATATTTTTTTTGCACTTTCTGAGGGGCGCATATTCAAACGGGGCGCTTATTTAAACGGGGCGCTTATGAAAACACAATGGAAATTGAGGGGTTATCTATAGAAAAGCCATCAAAGCGACTGCGGTTCTTCTTCCGCTTCTGGGCGTTGCACTTATGCTATCATTCTGGCAGTATCCAGACAAGAATGACATCGTATATCACTTCGTGTTTTCTACGATCATATCGACACAGGTAAGCTAGTAGTAAAGATGTAAGACACTAATACCTAGTCAATCACACTGGAAAAAAACTATACAAACACTTATAACGCACACAATCATGCTGTTCCCTGATCATATGAATAATGTACGTTTCCCCGCGTACAGAAACCCACTATACAAAGCCCACCACTCCATAGCAACCACACCACCACCCTAACCAACGATCTCATACACACTTTACGAAAATCCCTCCAAACAAAAATAATAATAATTTTTGCATTTTTATTGTTAATAAAGGGGATGTTTGTTGCTATCATCTATTGTTTCCTAAACAGTGAGGTAAGTGTTTTCCTGTATTTGCAATATAATTTTAACCGACAGTACTTCCCATATTGTTTTAAAACAAACGAGTCAGGATGAATCGAAATAGAGGATCGAGGGGGAAGCTGGTTTCAAAATTTTAATAATAAATCATTAAGATTTATGAAGTTTCATAAAGATCTCATAATCGATTCATTGAAAACAAATCATTCGTCTCCTACGAAGAGAAGTCTTGATTTTACTGCAGTGGACATGATTTAAAGCAACTTTCGACAAGCCATTGCAACCTTGTAGATCCCCCGTCTATTAATCTGTACTCACCGTTCCTCATTAGAATAAACGAGAAAAAGAAACAAGGATATACAAAAGATACACTACATATACTAAGTCTCTATATGAGACTTAGAAGGGAGTGCAGTTGCTTTTGGTCCTGAAACTCACTAAGCCTCATAATGAAATTGAGCGTTGTAGAGTATATGGTAAGTTAGTTTTGTGAAATGTTCTGAATACCGATGTAAGATTGTGTGTCCCATAAACACAATATATATATATCCAATTTAATACAGTAGAGTCCCTGCACTGAGCCCCTATCCAAGCCCCACCTCTATAAGGGGACACTTTTCCGTGAAACGAGGGGAATTATATCTTTTAATACTACGGCTAACCCCTATTAAAGGGACACCCCAATGATGGGACCGGGACACTTTTTGGGTGTGTTAAATGGTCAAATCAATACATATTCAACCCTATTAAGGGGAAACGTATTTGTTTCACTGTATTTCAAATGCTACAACGTTCTAAAGAAAAAGATCCTAAAAAACATTCAACCTTTTATTTTTACACCTTATGAGCAATAAACTTCACATCATTCCAAGAATTTTCCCCTGAATCCTTAGTAGAGTGAACATTGGCTTATTAGGCATACTGCCAACCAATCTTGTCATATTTGACTCCTAGCCATGGGGATTTCTTTTTTTGTGCCTTTCATATGGGATTCTATCATAGCATCGTTACTCTATTCATATACATGTATCCAGTAGAAAGCTAAAGATCAAACAAATAAAAAAAAACATTTGGTCATTCACATCGCATCACGAATAATATTGGGAACATAATACAACTATAGTAGTTTTAATTACATTACGTAATTATTATAAAATTTGAATTTTGCATTGCAAATTATCGCTATAAGTTAGTTCTAATTCTACTGTAACTCATTCTTAGGTCAATACAAATAAAATCATAAAGAGTGTATATCATCGTTGTATGAAAACTACCAAAACCGCTATTAGGAGTACACTTTCACGCTTTAGTTTGTTCCCGATAATAGGGGTACACCTGTGAAAGGACACCCCATTAAGGGGACACTTTTTGGTCCCGAATGTGTCCCATTAATAGAAGCTGTACTGTATATCGAAGTACTGTTGTGTCACGTAATAACAGTATGATATTTAAACATACTTATTAAAGTATTTACCTAAAGCATCGTTTCATTTTTTCATTATATGTTGATTGCCATCGATTTTATCTGACGTGTTAACTCCGACATTGGTTGCTAGCACCTTTGTCATGTTTTGATTTCATACTGCCCACTAATTTAGCAGGCACTAAAAAGTAAGTGCCCATCAAGAGTAGACAGATAAGAAGTGGAGGATGTGAATGAGTCACACAGCACTGTAAAATTTTAAAAAGTTTATTATGAGACCAAAATATTTCTGGGTATTAAAAACACAAACACTATTCAACAAACGGCGAGCTGAACTAAGATTATAGAACACTGCGAGTGCATAACAATGTTTTATCAAGCTCATTTATTTGTAAATCGGATGACAATCAGCCAAACATTGACAAAAAATTTAGACAATAGCCAACATTTTATCAGGGAACAGTTATTTATCAAATTGTTTTGTAAAATAAAACGTTGTGCTACGATGTTTTCACTGGAATCTTCTAATTTTTAAGTGTTTATTTAACACTTAAGTCTTTCTGTATAAGTTTATATACAGTGTGTTCTTACCTCTTGTTTGGCGTGGTATTGGTGTTATTTGCTGTTATCATTTCACATGATCGTATAAATAGGCCTATGTATGATATTAAATTGTTTTACTTTAACTATAGTAATTACCAGTTATTATCGACATATATAGAACCGATTTTAAAACTTTATTATTAAATATTTAAGTGTTTATTCTACAAAGAAATGAATGTCTCTGTGTAAGTCGCAATTGGTTGATAGTGGATATAGTACCAACATAATATAATAAGCATAATAATATAATGACCAAATTTAATTATTAAAATAGCCTGGTTCCATTCTGATAAATGGTCCTGAATTTGTCGTTGCAATATGAAACGTCACAGTAGTCGAAACAAACCTCTTGCTGACCATGCGTGGGCAAGTCCACTGTTGCACACCTTCCGTTAGCAGGATCCAAGCAGCTTCTATATATCAAGATATTGCCCTCAGTGGTTAGTGTACGACCAGTCTGTAAGAAGATAGCAGAACAGTAATTATTATTATTATACTGTATATTATTATTAATTAGTTATATTAACGTTATTAAATGCCATTCATTACAATTTGTATGCAATATACACGATAGCAAATAGTAGTTTAATATCAAATCATCTTGCATGTGTAAATAATAATTAACGAATATAATCAATACTGTAAATAACTCCTCAACAGTAAACTAAAGTAAACTGAACTGTATAATCATTCTCAAGATATTTATAAGTTCATGGTAGATACTTACTGTGCATACTTGATCGTCGGAACACACAAGAGTGCCAACTGTCGCCCCGCTGACGTTCTTAACACAATCATAGTTATTTTCGCTAAATACCCCTTCGATATTAGTACATTGGTAACATGTTAACAAATGTACTGTAAAAACAAATATTATACGAAATAAATCACTATTGATAACGTACCTTTTTTGGAAGAGATTTAGGTCAATTTTTTCATATAAAGAGTAGGGGATGTGGTCATGGTGTACTGCCAAATTAACCAGAAGGACCCACTGAGTCTTATTAATCTGGTATATATTTATCCATTCATGAATACATTTAGCACATAGTAGTAGAACTTAAATGAAGTTTATAATTGACAATGCAATAAATTACAGAAAAAAAAATAAACAAAAGGTGTAGCCGCGGTAATATTTTTCAATCAATATATATTATTATTATTAGGCCTATTATACTTATTCCCTCCATAAAAATGTATAAATATATACACAGGGACATACAATGAAAACGACTATACAAAATTAAAACATTAAAATTGAAAGAAAAAGAAGATCCATTATAACAATGAGTATGCAGATTGCTGGTGAGTGGGGAAGCGGGCATACCAAAAGGAACGGAGTTCCTGTACAATGAATGGAAGCAGGTCAACTCGGCTACAAGTTGTTGCAAAATAATAATAAAGGATGAAAATATAGCATAAGAATACTTGTAGTAATTGTTAATAGTACCGTATATTACTTAAAACACAAAATAGTATATGGCGAGGCCATTAATTATCCCCCCAAAACCAGTTTAGCAGTAAGCTGCAACTAATTTGTGGCCGAGTTGATTTGTAACCGAGTTGATCTGTGGCCGAGTTGAATTGTGGCCGAGTTGACTTGCGGCCGAGTTGACCGTGGCCTAGTTCACTGTTGCCGAGAAGACTTGTGGCCGAGTTGACGTGTGGCCGAGTTGACTTGTGGCCGAGTTGACGTGTGGCCGAGTTGACTGTGGCCGTGTTGACTTGTGGCCGAGATCGAAATCCAATAAATATTTGGAATCCACAAGCACTCATCAGTAAAACGTATAGTCAAACAGAATAAAAAAGTTATATAAACGATTCCTTAACATACCGTATTTCTTATAAATTATAAATTAAAATTTCCATTATGCACAGGTAAAGGAAGGCAATTCCAACAGACAATAATTTTATAACAAAAAGAATGAGCAAGTTCGTTGCATCGGGGATTTCTATAGGCCTATACAATTTCAGTTTCAGTTTATTTATAAGACCAAGGATAGCCCACGAAAGTCTAGAAGAAGACTTATTTTCAGTGGGTCCTTCTGGTGGTGATTGGGCAGTACACCGGGAGACAATCAATCCCCTAAACTTTTCCGAAGAGTTTACTGCGTTCTTTAACGTGCACATGAGCCATAACGCACACGGGACCAACGGCTTAAACGTCTCATCCGAAAGACGGTGCGCTATTGTAACTTGTATTTCAGTCCTCCAGCTGAAACACAAGGAGAAGTAGCAATGGGAATTGAACCGGGGACCTAGAGATCTCCACGGTTCAGCGCACACACAGTGGCGACCACCTGATTAGCCGACTGAGCTAGGGAGTTTATAAAGGATCCAAGGACTTGCAGTTTAACACATCTTTAAGGCTATCACGCAAATTTGACCAAATTCGAGGAAAAAGTACAATAACAGAATTGTGATGAACTATAGTGCGAGAATGCAGATGATTAAAAGTCAAAGTGGTTTAATGTCTAGTGTTAATTGATAGATATTCTTTTATAATAGAACAATCAATATAACCAAAGAGGCATTTACAAACAAAATAAATTACAATCTGTTTTTGGCGGCATTCAAGCGACAAAAGCTTACCGGTATTGGATTTCAATCTAATATCATATGGGATTTCCCCTCTACCAACTCTCATGATTCTACGAGTGGCATATTTTTGGATGCGCTCTAAGCGAGTACGTTGTTGTTTTTTGTCTGAGGCATCCATGCAGGTAGACCGTAGTCTAAGTGAGGTAATACCAAAGACTTGTATAGACAGAGTAGAGTTTGGCTTGAGGCAAATTCGGCAATGAAAAATACCAAGCCTAATAACTTTTTACATTTACGGACAATAGCATCAACGTTGGCATTCCATGTAAGTTTATCCTCTATGTTAAAACCCAAGTACTTATAGTATTTAACAACATCAAGTTTTTCGTCATTAAAATTATATTCGAAATTAATGGGGTTTTTCTTTCTTGTGATATACATCACTTTTATTTTTTTTTACATTAAAGGACATTTTATTACAATCAGTCCAAGTCCAAAAAGAATTTAAATCTGCCTGTATCCGTTCATTATCATTACAAGATTCAATATTCAAGATTATTTATTGAAAAAAAACCAAAAAAAAACCCGGAAATTCTGTTTGGGTGTAAACATTTCATTAAAATAAAGATACAAAAATATATACAATCATCAAAAATATAAAACAAAAAAAAAATAGCAAAAAGTACATATATATTTATTTACCCACGTGTATGTAGTTAGTGCTGAGTTCTGTCGTCATTAATATTACATATACATATATAACATCAACAATAAAATAGGACTATTATGTGGTTATAAACATACAATTACATATTAAGTATACACAAACTTCCTTACCTAGGAATTAAGTTTAAAATACAGAATAAGAACACTGCTGTTTTATGGTACAAAATAAACTTAATATTTTATTATATTCGTCTGTTATTTATTATCATTTTTGCAGATACAAAGCGCTAGCTTCCAACATTGCATCTCAGAACCAACAGAAAGCATAAGAAACTAACCACGCCCAAACAGAAAAGAACATTCCTAAATAAGTCAGTAAAGAAGTAATGATCATAATCACACAACAAAAACAGTAATGAAGTAATGACAATTTTAAAATAAAAAAACAGAGCAGAAGTTAAAACAGAGGGAAAACCGAACAAAAGACAAAACAAAAAGAAAAAAATCACAAGAAAACAAATTATAAATTAATCACCATATCATGCCATAACTCGAGTGTGAAGACATTTAATATGAGCATTAAATGGAAATGACGAAAGGGGACCATGTGGAACTATAAACCTATTAAATTAGAAAACCCTCTGAAACCATTACGTTATGAACAAAATAAAGATTGGTATCAGTTATATTAACGTGTTAATTGTATAAAATTATAGAATAAATCACTACTAAGGATTCTCACCCTTAAATGATAAAATGTGATAATTATTGTAAGGTTACTAGTTATGCAACATACCTGGACATCCCAAAGCAAGGATAGCAACAAAAAACAATACCAAATTCATCTTCCAATATGTCAGCAACTAAAATATAAATCCACTGGAAGACAGTGTAAGAATAAAATTTAACATTTTTGGTACTCCATTGTCTACCCGTAAGTGTCAAACGAAGACTAATCTATTAATTTGACAGATAATAATAATATAAAATTCTTTGGTGACGTACCGTACACGTACACAAATTAGTTGACGTTTGATAGACTTAATAGGATAAAACATGATTTCACTTATTATTTATGTAAACAAGTGCCACGTTTAAGACTTATTGTATAATGTTTATTTTAGCATTATTTAAATGAGTAGAACTAAACAAAGTGATGTAATACATTTTGTAGCAAGACATGCTAGACAATGATAAACATCATGCGATACACAATCATTCACTAAACTTATAATTTGAACTTAATGTACGAATACACATTTGGTATTATACCTAGGCTTGTAAGTGATCAGTCGAAAGTTGGTACTTACAGAACGTACACACGGACGTGTTGTTTTTACTGTTCTAACGTTTAACTTTGATGTCTCGTCTAGGTATGGTTAGTTAGAGTTTCAAACATGGCTATATTCCACATGGCTATATTCCACAAATCACGTTTACTTTTAGCAAACACATGGTCCAATCACAATACTTAATTTCATTATATGAGAATTTTTAAATAATCTTCCTTTACTTACGTCTAACCACAGAATCGTAAACGTATCCGTAATCGATAAGTAGTCAAATAATGATTCTAATCTAGTGTGTTATCACACTCCTAATAGTAAAATACTAAGGCAATCTATGGTTTTAGTAATACCAGAGATGCTACATTTGTAGAGTGATTTTGTGGTATCGTCCCTCAAAAACAAAATAACGACAGATTGAGTGTGTGAATCAATTTAATCTACCAACATTAAAGTGTTGTCATCTTCACACGCTGTTGTGCTATAAAATATGTATTTCTTTTATCTCAAAATTGTTTATCATTACTAACGGTACGTAAAAAACCACTGGCCTATTGAATTCATAATTCTAGGATTATTTATCTAATAATTATACCGCTAGCAACAAATTAGGGGATACCACAGCAGTTTGCCATGATTTACGTAAAAAAAAAAATACGTAGTTAGCTGTGTCATTTCCTTTATACTGTAAAATAAATTTCATTCTCATCCAAAATCTTCTCTTTAGTAAAGTGTAAGCGATAACATTTATAATTGAGTCTTATTTTCTGGCTTAATGATAGAAGTTTCTTTTGACATAGTTACTAAACAGTGATTTGGTTCACTTTTTGGCAATCCTGTTCGGCGAATTGATTGTGTTTTTTTTCTCTCTGTTAGGCTATTTTGTTTTTTTCAGATGTTTTATTCTTCGGACTGAATAAAATGAAATGAAAAATTTGAGCCTCCTGGGATTTCTTCTCAAATTCCCATCACTTGTGACGAAGAGAGGCTCTACGAAGCTGTATTATTGTTAGTTAAGTCTGTAGCAGGTTTAAAGTAGGCCTACGCTGGGATAGGGGTGCTAACTTCCCCGTGAGTAGGCTGCCCTATTTATCGCTTACTTACGTTCTGCAACTGTAAATGGCAGAGAGTGGAGTGAAGGGACACACAAATCATCTGCAGCAGTGCAACCACTGCTGAGAGGGTTTGTTTCCACCAGCATAGCTCCCAAGGCAAGGAGGACAAAGACCAGTAGACTTCAGGCTGCAGATAATAAAAGAGAAATTAATAAATTCAGTTACCTCAAACAAGACCCATAGCCAAATTTAGGATTTAAGGACATGTTAACCAAAAAATAAATAAAGCTCCACTCTACTTCGCAGGATCTACCTCAATTTCTTGCATAACTATTTAACATTTTTATTCACACTCACACACAAATTAAAATTTTTATGAATCAATTTTGAAACTTATCTACTAGTATATATTTATGGTGTGTAGAAAAACCTTTACAGTGACTAGCATTGATAGGCCCTAATTGTAGAAAATGGCAAAATATTTTTCACATATATGGCATCATAAAATGCAAAATAACTAATCTTATTCCCTTATCCAGGTTCAGATGACAGTGAAGAGGAAATTAAAGAGAATACATGTTATGAGAAAGGCAAAAGGCCCACATCGCATGCAAGCCAGCCCTGCATCTTTCATGGTAGCTACAAGCTCAGAGGTAGTGCTTCCTATGTCTTATCGTAAGAAAACAGCGACCTCTATAGATAATCCATTCTGCACCGAGCATTCTGAAGACTTGAAACAACACAATGTTCAAGAAAATTATAAAGTAATCGTTGAAAATAACGAGAATAATAACATCTGTCCAGATGAGTAAGGCAAGAAACAAAGCAATTAAATGCTTGTACAGTATTGATAAAATAATAAAACATCTGACATTAATGTAGTAAATAATTCAAAAACAATGTTTTAAAATGATGATACCGATATCCTCTCTTTTTAACCTATTTTAGACAAAATTGCTATTGATAAGGTCACCTAAATAGGCATGACTAAAACTTTCAAATAATATATATTTTTACAAATGTAACATATATTTATATGGTTAAATGTTGTCGACGCTATTCATTTCATTGTCATAAAATGTATAATTTTATTGTTATGGGATAATAACTTCATTGTGTTTTGATAACACTCTTTAAATTTTGTATGATAAATTCACCAGAACTCAGTGGTTTTCCCAATAATTGCCGATTCTCAAGCAAGTTTTAAAAGTCAAGCACTTTTAAAATCCAGATGAGTAGGAATGTTTTTCTGCTGCCCTCTAGAGAACAGTGTTTACAAAAGACCGTTATACTAAACTGCTAAGTTTTGATGGATTTACCATTTAACTTACAATACTAATAACATGCTGAATAATGTTTAAAAACGTTCCTACTTATTTGCTCTATAACTCATAAGATGTTGGTCATTTGACTAAACTGACGCATTTTAGTATTGTCATATTAATTCATTTTCTGTGTGTATGTATGTATTGTTCCATCATACTAACAGTTGCAGCCTACTAGGTCTAATATGAGTAGAATTGATGTTGTGTATTATGCAATAATAATTCAATGAGTACATTGGAGGTAATTATCACATTCATGTTAGTGATGTTGACCAACAAATCTTACGAAACGATAACGAATGCGATCACATCAGTTATAATATTGCGTAGCTGATCTTCACACTCCACAGCGTATGCGCTTTGCTAACGTCATATTCATCATCTAGGCCTATTTATTTTAAGATAACTAAATGCTGTAAAACAGGATAAATCAGAATTTTTCAGTACAGACTCAAGCCTTAGACTAAAAGACCGCCTATATAATGACCAGTGGTCTACAAAATCGTTTGCAGTACTACACATCATAGTTTTGGTATAGTCTACAAAACCGCCTGTAGTACAGACTCACGTATTGGTGGTCTACAAGATCGTCTACAAAAAAAATTCAAATCTGGGTAGTCTATAAGATAGTCTGTGTTACAGACACAAGTCTTTGTGGACTAAAAGATGTCAAAAACATACACATACTTAAGTATTGGACCTAGTCTACAACACCGTCTGCAGGACGCAGTCAATTCGTAGATTTGTTGTAAAACGCGAAACCTTATGCACGATTAAAATTTATTATTATTATTATTATTATTATTATTATTATTATTATTATTATTATTACATGACGTTTTTATGTACGTTAACGTTTTCGAAAGTATTTAAAACCCCCTTTTATCTTATTAATTGATAAATAATATTGTAATGTTTTACTAACCGTGGTGATTATATTTATTTAGGGGTTTACATTTATGATTGATATAAAAATGTTTTTGTCTGCATTTGACTGTATTCAGTCTAACATAACAATTATTATTAACGTCATGTAATACATTATTTAGACTAATTGAATTTGCTTGAAAAACATATTGTTAATGATTCATTATTTGTGACTTTGTGGCACTAATAATAATATACATTACAATGAATTTACAGGTGAAAATATAGACATCAGATTATTTCTATATTTCAGACAAAATCGTCAACAACGTATGTTTAGAGACCAAGATGGACGTGTGATACTTAATCTACTTGAGCAAAGATTTACTTGAATTTTTATTGTTTTTCGTTCTTACTCAGTAAACGTGAATTCGACGAGTGTCATCACGTATTTAACTTGATGCAGACAGCTGTCTTCTATATAGTAGATGGCAATCTACTCAGGATACTGGGTAAAAATATTCATCTTCGTTATCATTTATTTCTTTATTGAACGTATTTATACAGGATAACAGCATATCAGATGAGCGGTATATCCTGTTGGACATATGTTTATGTCATACGTACGGCTTTGTCATCATCACTATCATTTCATCACCATCTCATCATCACCACTATGTCAATTAAAAGTGGCATTATCATCATAAATACAAAATCACTATTATCATAGAGGGGTCTAGCATATTATGCGCTAAATCAAGTTGTTCAGAAAGCAAATAACCATTTACGAGACGAGAACATTACCGAAGATATAGGCCTAAATGGCTACTTAACGACACAAGTGAGTGTACTCCGACCGTTGGCTCTTTATAATTTAATTTAATTTCTTATTGATATACGAAATAACACCAGGCTACAGAATTACAACAAGATTCTTGTGAACCACAATAATTATTTAATAGTTACACTTAAACTGTTTATAGCTATACCTTACACGTAAATGAATACAACAGTGACAAAGGACGCTGCGCATAAGTTGTAGCCGTACATCAAGCAGCCTATTTTTGTTACCGTGCAATTCATACATGAATTGAAAGTGTACTATAAATACAATCACATAGTATCCGTCGAAGCTGAACATTGTATATTTAGTGTTGTCATGTCATATGCACAGCTATAATTTGTAGTTGGACATTATGTTATGTGATGTTAATATAGACGGTTTTACTGTAGGCCTATATTCTATATCTGTAGTTGCCAATTGTATAATGTTATCATGTCATGCCTTATAAAAACGACTTCACTGAGTATCTTTGCAGTTGGTCATTGTATTTTTTATTGTATGTTGTGTAACAGAAGGATTTACTGGCTTACAGCATAATACACTACGGGAGTTTCTTTATAGAAGCAACGCATGACTGTCCCTTGATGGTATAAATAATACTTTGTAGTGCATTGTTATACTCAGTATTATTATTAATGCATTACTGTTGCCATGGGTGCCGCACCACCAATGTACCTATGACTCAAAATGCGTTTTAAATTAAATTATACGAATTATTGCTTGATAAAAAGTCAAAATCACAGTGTGGTATAGACGTTCTGCGTCTTTTCTCTTGTTTCTTTTCGTGTTCTTGTTTTTCTATTTCATGTTTTTCATGCAATTTGATAATAATTACTTTAGTAATTATATATAGCATTATACGGTAACATTCCTATTATTATTATTATTATATTATAAGCCGAATAATGTTTTGATGACAATAACAATTATTATTATTATTATTATTATTATTATTATTATTATTATTATTATTATTATTATTATTATCGAAAGGGCCCCACTCGACAGTGATAAGTTCACTTTTGGGGTGTTCTGTCTCATATTGTCTGTGCTTGTCCTTTGCTGTTCCTTTATTGTAAATTTTAATGTTTTGAGACGAATAAATGAAATGAAATAAAAATGAAATAATAATAATTCTTATTATTATTATTATTTTTTAAAAATAATGTTTTATTAATATCAGTTATTAATGCTATTGTTAATACTATTGATCATTTTTATTTTTCTTATTTAATTTAGCATTATAATTTTATTCTTATTATTGAAATTATTATCGGAAATTGAAATATTATTATAATTGTTAGTATAGGCCTATAATACTGTATGGTGAGACATTAATAGTATACATAATCTGTTATAGAAGTAGGATGCAATGACCAAACAGTGGTGATGAAATGTAAATGTGGTGTTTTTTTATTTTTTGGTTTTTTTTTGTGTTTTTTTTTGTAACTTTGTACATTATCAAGCTTGTGATTGGACTGAGTATACACTGACTTAATATTTACCCATTTACCATTATGTGGCGCACAATATAAATACGTTTTCTTGGACCGTTTTATACTCGTACGTAAAGTATAATTGTATATTACAATGTGATCATATGTGGTAATCGGTTGTGAAGAAAACTCAATTATTTAAGACAAATATTATAAAGCAACTCGATGCTTTTATATTATGCTTATATTTTAATAGTGATGGGATATCATGTAGATGATGAGTATTTGATTTTGTTAACATTTATAAATAAATATTTTCAACTAAAAAAATACATAAAAAACTTTAGTCGATATATATTTTAAGGAAATATGCCTAAGCATATTGTAGACTCTTGTAAATACAGTTATTAAGACTTGTGTATATAAGCTAAGCTTCACTGCTCCCTTATAATATAGATTCCCTTACAGCGTAAAACATTAAGTGTGTGCGGTGTTCCAATTTATTATAGTATAATTTCAATCAGGCCTGAGGATTTAGTTGTTCTGTATTGTGTTTTATTTTCATTATAAAGTATTTCCTGTCACCTGTGTAAGAAAAGTACTTCGAAGCCGGATATTGTCAGAGCTTAAGTTTGGCCATCCTCACGTTAAAGGTTCCGCTATCCAGTTGTTAAAAGCTCGTTCATCAGTCAGTTAAAAGTGTTCATTAGATGATTGAAATAAAATGTAGAAGTAACCATAAATGTTCTGTGTATTTTGCATAAGAAAATATAAGCAAGAATCGTTATATTTATTTTGAAAATGGTTAGATGTTTTAAGATATGAATAATGAATGCATTTAATAATTAGGTTATTATGCTACCAATTTAACACTCTGACTCCATTATACTGTTAACATTCTATACTTTGAAGCTCACATTTAGAGTTATAGCTGCATTAAAGCCCCATCATCTTACTAAACTTAAGCATTCATTGATTTCTATATAATTCATAAATAATACAATTATTGGCGTCAAAAAGAGGGTGTACGCATAAGCAATTTTGTATTACGTAAATTGTTAATTTGATCGTATGTTTGAAGTGACGTATTCATTACCTGATCACTACCTGAATGTCAAGAAATGCGGCAGGTTCTTAAAATTAGGTCAAACAACGAAAGCTTTTTGGACGGAGCCGAAGGTTGCCTCCTGGAGGGAGAAAAAATAGTCTGCACCTTTGTAGGTTATTTTGAAGTAATTTAATTCTAATCCAACTTCGATCTATGTATGATACGCTAAAAAATTAATTGCAGATGAATCCTTATCCTTTAATAATTTTATCGATTGTAGATTTCATTAGTAGAAATAAAAGCGGTCCATAAGTTTCAGTTTTGTAGCTGGTATGGACACAAAATAAGCGATTATTTGACGATGTGTGTAAAGCCGGGCTCTCGCTGGGTCGTACGACTGTCGGCCGACAAATCCAACTCCGCTCCCTGTGAGCGCTAGGCGACGCGACGCCGTCTGCTTATTGTCGTCATAAATAGTTCTCCAAAGAATCGCGTCGGCCGAGTGCCATGCTTTAGGTACAACCACAGACCCTAAATAGGGTTTGTGGTACAACATTGTAATTGAGGGCGCTCGAGCTACTATGATCATTATAAAAGACTGCGATGTGAGCAGTTCAGTATACCTGCTATTAAACTATGCCCTTATTAATTGATGGTTGTATAGAAATGCGTCAGGCTCACGAAATAAACTACAGTATACCTTTCATCGAACTCGTGGGTCTCGACTAGAAATGCAAATAAAAACTTGTTGGAGGGGTCGAAAAATTTAACTAGCTTGGTTGGGAGGAGCATGACCGAGCGACGACACGGTCGTCAAGACATTGGGTACGGTAACAGAACTAAATTTTAACTATGAGCCTACCTGGTTTATTACACATGCATTAAAAATATTAGTGGAAAATTCAGGCCTTGGGGGAAGAATTTAACACGTTAAGGACAAAATGCTGTTCTGAAAAAAAAAAAAACCACTTACATTTGCACCGTATGTTTAAATAATAAATTTAAATAAAGAGTATTATTCATCGAGAGACCAGTTAGTTCCTGAGGGGAATCAGGCTTTAACGAGTAAGTAAATCTGACGTCACTATTCATACGCGAACGATAATCCAGTGATGATACAGCATGTCGCCTCATTTACATATTTAGAACCTGACTGATCTCATAATAGTTCAACCATCCAATTATACATTGTACAGTATTACGATGGTAATAAACATGTAATACGGTACTAAATATTACACACATACAAACCTACCGTACATCATAAGAACTGTATATGAAAATACCTCCTTTCATATACATACATATAAAAATCTTAATCAAAAACAAGGCACAATCAAGGATAACGTGGGAAGACGGTGAAACTAATTAATACAAGCAACAATGGAAATTATTGTCATTAACAATGGTTGGAATGTAAAGAAGTTATTCGAAAACAATGCATTTAATTATAGGTATGCTAGTGAGTTAATCTAATTCAGAAAGCTATCTCGGGTGAACACAAGCTGTAGGATGGCGGTGTTTTCTCATCTAAGTTGCTGTTAAGTTAACAGCGAACACAGATCAATAATGTACAATGTTTGATCGGCCATCATAATTATTATTTATTGTCCAATATTAAGGACAATATCGCAAAAATAATTCAAATGTATCCATTGTTTTACGACAAACAACTATATATTTATTAAAGATTAAACTCTTTATTTATCCAATTTTAAATAAATGTTAATTACGTCGGTCATACAGAACGTGTTTAGGCCTACTCATTTCACGCACAAGTACGTAAAACGCATACACACCAGTTACATGTACACGAATGCAAATCACTACTATAGACAAGAGTAGGACTCATGATCAGAACAAATAGAATTCAAAAAATACCTAGCTGTTAGTATGTTTATAAATGTTGATATATCTTGTGTGTTAGTTGTGTTCTCAATTATAAAAAAAGCTTTTAATCGGTAACATGTAATAATAATTTGTGTGTAAACGATTGTGGTGGCGAATCA